CCTCCAGTCACTTGCTCCCAAGCATGCGATGACTTAGTAAAAACTTTGTATCCTTTGTCCTATTATTCCATGTCTTACATCAGATTTCCTGCCCTCCCTGTATTTCTTTTTGTTATCAGGAGCAAGAGCAGCACTGGTACTAACAGGTTGGACTCTAGAAATGAAAAGACTACAGTGAAGGTTGAGAAAAGACTGAGGTTATTGAAAAAACAAGAAGAAAATCTTTCATACATTCTATTATTCAACCTGTTACATGTCAAACTGCAAAGCTGGGCAGGGAGAGGTGAAACACAGTACAGGAAAATCAGAGGATACTGTAAATTGTGATTTAAATGGGGAGAGGAGGAAGCCGGGAGAAATGTTCTTGGGAGTAGAAATGGTGAGGTGCTATCAGAGGGAAATCGGAATGAGATACTGAGTTCCAAAGGAAGATGTTCTCTCTGTCTGCAGCATGCTGGCTAGAGGCAAGTGTTGAGTTTGAGAGGTAGGAGTGTGCCTCTGGCGCGTGCCATGCTTCAGCCAGATTGGATTTTGTTCCATCGATCCCACCAGGAGGGCAATACCCATCAGATTGAGGAGCTGTCAATCTAAACACCCTCTGGCCTAAACATGCACTGATCTGGGAGCTCACTTTTAGGGCTTTTTGCGTAGAATAGCTCTTAAATTGTGCAAGGCTAAGGGATGTGTGGTTAGTCTCATCCTCTAAACCCAGTAACTGGTAATATGCTCTATCTCCTCTAAAAGAGGAGGCTGTTCCAGTCCTGGTAGACTTCCCTCTCCTGGATGTTCATCTGTACTTTTTAGACTGGCTTTACATTTCAAAGAGATGAACATTTCATTTCATACTTTACAAATAAAGTTTTGTGCAAAGACTTTGTTTAAAAAAAGAAAAAAATGAAAAGACAAAAAAAAAAGTAATTGATGTATAGGTTGGATTTAATTGCAAACTTGCCTGGTTTTCTGGTGGGCTCCAGCCTGGGCTTTCATGAGATACACCCCTGAGGAGGTACAGAATGCAAGTTGTGCTTGTTGGAGAGCCCTTCTGGGTTCCTCTCTCTGCCTTATTGCTCCACGGCGGACGGGGTCCAAGCATGAAAGCCCAAGGATTGCTGTTCCTACCAGGTCTGAAGTGTTGGAAGTACTGGTTTGGGCTGGACTCGGGCTCTGAGTCTGCAGTGAGAAAACAAAGCTAACAGTAAGGAGCTGAAGCTGAAATTTCTCAGCAAGCAAAATCCCAAATTTAGGCCTGCTTTTCTTTTAGTTTTTTGCTTCTGGGCTGACTC